AAAGAGGTCCCAACCCCCCAGAATTCCCCCCGGGGGTCTCAGCACAGGGTGGGGGGCACAGCCCAGCGGCTCCCACCTTGTTTTGGGTTTTGGGGAAGGACTCTGAACCCCATAAACCCCCCAAACAAAACCGGGGTCCGGCTCCTGCGTCCGGCCGAGCCCCCTCGAGGTTTGGGGTGTCCTGGGGGGGGTCCGGCCGAGCCTCCCGGCTTTGGGGTCACCCCCGACCCCCCGCCCCAGCGGCGCCGGGGGGCGGCTGGAAGCCCCCAGCCCCATCCCCGGGACACACCTGGGGACCCCCGGGACACACCTGGGGACCCCCGGCCTGCAGCAGAGCCGGGGGGGGTCGCAGGGATTTTTTGGGGGGCTCAGGGACGGCAGCGGCGTTTTTTGAGGAAGAATCCCCGGTTCTGGCGGGGGGCAATGAGGGTTGAGCCCCCACCTTGCGTCCCCCCCCCCGGGGTGAGTCCCAGCACCCCAAAATTGTCCCCAAAGCCCCCGGGACACACCTGGGGACCCCCGGCCTGCAGCAGAGCCGGGGGGGGTCGCAGGGATTTTTTGGGGGGCTCAGGGACGGCAGCGCCCCCCGAACCAGCAGAGGTGGCGGGTGACCCGCGGGGGCTCTGGGGACACACGGGGGGCTCCAGCACCTTCATCCCCCCAGAAGGAGGGATCCCAAATCCCCCCGAGCCCCCCAAATCCCCCCGAGCCCCCCAAAGCCACCCGGGGGTCCCCAAAGCCGGGGGGGCGCGGCCGGGAGATTGGGATTTTGGGGGGATTTGGGGAGAGGGGTGATGGGGATTTTGGGGGGATTTTGGGGCTGGGGGCTATGGGGCAGGGACATTAGGGGGCAATTATGGGGCGGGGGGCGCTGGGGTTATGGGGCAATGGGCTGGGTGCCCCCCACCCCATTAATTCACGCCCTAATGAGCGGAACCACCGGCCCCACCCCGAGCTGTGACCCCAAACCCGGCTCCTGGTGCCCCCATTGTTGTGGGGTCGGTGCCGGGGGGTCCCTGGGCCGCCCCCGCAGCTGCCCCGCTCCGAGGATGATTTATGGGGTCGGGGGTCGTTCCCCGGGATGATTTATGGGGTCGGGGGTCGTTCCCGGCCAGATGGGGCTGCGGCAGCTGGGAGGGGGCGCTCGGCCCCAGCCGCGCCTTTATGGGGCCGCCCCTCCCCTCCGAGGGCTGCGGGGGGGACACGGCCCTAAAGGGTTTGGGGACACTGAGCCCTAAAGGGGTTTGGGGACAGTGAACCCTAAAGGGGTTTGGGGACTCTGAGCCCTAAAGGGTTTGGGGACACTGAGCCCTAAAGGGGTTTGGGGACAGTGAGCCCTAAAGGGGTTTGGGGACACATCTGCCCTAAAGGGGTTTGGGGACACTGAGCCCTAAAGGGGTTTGGGGACACATCTGCCCTAAAGGGGGGGGGTGGCAGGGCTGGCCGGGTCCGGCAGGGGGCGCTGCTGTCGCGGCGGCGATTGGGGACGGGGGGGACACCCCAAGGGGGGACACTGGGGACTCCCCTGGGACATTGGGGACACCCCTGGGACACCCAGGAGCGATTCCCTGATTTTTGTCCCAAACCCAGGCGGGTTTCCCCAAGGAATGGGATTTTCCAGAGGACGGGAAGGGCTGGAAATAGGGAAAAAAATGGGAATGGGGGGGAAAAATCGGGAATGGGGCGGAAAAATGGGGAATTGTGCCGGGAAAGGCTGGAGGGGCCGGGACAAAGGGCGGGAATTCCCAATCTGCCGGGCCGGAATGTCAATGAGAGCCGAGAGCTCCCTTTGTGAGGGGACAATGGGGACAGATGGGGCCGGGGCCCCAAAGGGGTTTGGGATCTGCCGGGACGGGGAAAGCGACCCTAAAGGGGCTGGGAATGGGGAAGGGGATTGGGAATGGGGAAAAGTGACCCTAAAGGGGCTGGAAATGGGGAAAGGGATTGGGAATGGGGAAAAGGGAAATGGGAATGGGGAAAACTGACCCTAAAGGGGCTGGGAATGGGGAAAGGGAACTGGGAATGGGGAAAAGGGAACTGGGAATGGGGAAAAGCGACCCTAAAGGGGCTGGGAATGGGGAAAGGGATTTGGAATGGGGAAAAGCGACCCTAAAGGGACTGGGAATGGGGAAAAGGGAACTGGGGATGGGGGAAAGCGACCTTAAATGGGATTGGGAATGGGGACAGGGCCTTTTCCTTTTCCCCTCAAAAGTGCAAAGGACACAGTGGATAAGTTAATAATAATAATAAATAATGATAATAATAAATAATAATAATAATTCTCAATAAATAAATTAATTCCATAAATATCCTCATGGCACAGAGACAGGGGGAGAACAGGGTTTGGGGGAAAAGGGGGAGCCAGCCCCAGGAATTCCTGCTCCAGTTCTCTGGGAATCCTGGTCCCAGTTCCTCTGGGAATTGCGGCTCCAACCTTTTGGGATTTGCTGTCCCAACTCTGGGATTTGCAGCTCCGTTCCTCTGGGAATTGCTGCTCCAGTTCCTCTGGAATTGCTGCTCCAAACCCCTGGGAATTGCGGCTCCACCCTCTGGGATTTGCTCTTCCAGATTTTAGGGTTTTGCTGCTCCAGCCTTTTGGGGTTTGCTGCTCCATCCCTCTGGGATGTGCAGTCCCAAATCTCTGGGATTGGCTCTTCCCTCCCTCCGGAATTGCTGCTCCAGTTCCTCTGGAATTGCTGCTCCAAAGCCCTGGGAGCGGGGCGGGGGGGGCAGGGAGGGCACGCGGATGGACAGACGGACACAGGGATGGACACAGGGATGGACACAGGGACAGACACAGGGATGGACACACAGACACAGGGATGGACACACAGACGGACACAGGGATGGACACAGGGACAGTCAGATGTCCAGGACGTGGCTCCGGTAGGAGATGCAGCAGATGGCTGGATGGACACACGGATGGACACACGGACACAGGGATGGACACACGGACACAGGGAGGGACACAGGGACAGTCAGACGTGGTTCAGGTACGAGATGTAGCTGAGAGCCAGGTGGACACACGGACGGACACACGGACACATGGATGGACACACGGACGGACACACGGACAGACACACGGACACCTCAGATGTCCAGGACATAGTTCAGGTAGGAGACGTAGCAGATGGCTGGATGGACAGACGGACACAGGGATGGACAGAGGACACACGGATGGACATATGGGCAGGTCACACGTCCAAAACATGGTTCAGGTAGGAGGGGACAGACACAGGGATGGACACACAGACACAGGGATGGACACACAGACGGACACAGGGATGGACACAGGGAGGGACACAGGGACAGTCAGACGTGGTTCAGGTACGAGATGTAGCTGAGAGCCAGGTGGACACACGGACGGACACACGGACACATGGATGGACACACGGACGGACATACGGACGGACACACGGACACACGGACGGACACACGGACGGACATACGGACAGGTCACACATTCAGGGCGTGGTTCAGGTAGGAGACGTAGCAGATGGCTGGATGGACAGACGGACACAGGGATGGACAGAGGACACACGGATGGACATATGGGCAGGTCACACGTCCAAAACATGGTTCAGGTAGGAGATGCAGCAGATGGCTGGATGGACACACGGACGGACACATGGACACAGGGACGGACAGATGGATGGACAGACGGACACAGGGACGGACAGAGGACACACGGATGGACATATGGGCAGGTCACACGTCCAAAACATGGTTCAGGTAGGAGATGCAGCAGATGGCTGGATGGACAGACGGACACAGGGACGGACAGACGGACGGCTCACACGTCCAGGACGTGGTTCAGGTAGGAGATGTAGCAGATGGCCAGGCGCAGGATCTCGATCTTGGACAGTTTCTTGTCGGGGGGCAGCGTGGGCAGCAGGCGCCGCAGCTCGGCGAAGGCCACGTTGAAGGCCTCGACGCGGATGCGCTCGCGCGTGGCGTGCGCCGTGCGGTACTTGGCCGTGGCCCGGCGCCGGCGCCGCCGCTCCTCGCGGCTCAGCGGCTCCTTCCCGGCCGGGCCCGCCGTGCCCGAGCCGGCACCGGCACCCAGGGAGGGCTCGGGGACCGCCAGGGACGGGGGGACGTCGAGGGCGGGCGGCTCCGAGTTCAGCATCATGGTCAGGGGAGAGGGGACAATTCCAGAGGGGACAGTTCCAGAGGGGACAATTCCAGAGGGGACAGTTCCAGAGGGATCCTGGGGATTTAGGGACAGTGCCAAAGGAATCCTGGGGACTTGGGGACAGTTCCAAAGGGACCCTGGGGATCTGGGGACAATTCCAAAGGGGACAATTCCAAAGGGATCCCGGGGGTTTGGGGACAATTCCAAAGGGATCCCGGGGACAAGGGATTCTGGGGATTTGGGGACGGTTCTGAACTGATCCTGAGGGTTTGGGGACAATTCCAAAGGGATCCTGGGGACAATTCCAAAGGGATCCCGAGGATTTGGGGACAATTTCAAAGGGATTCCAGGGACAATTTCAAAGGGATCCCGGGGGTTTAGGGACAGTGCCAAAGGGATCCTGGGGTTTGGGGACAGTTCTGAACTGATCCTGGGGATTTAGGGACAGTGCCAAAGGGATCCCGGGGCTTTGGGGACGATCCCAAACCGATCCCGTGGATTTGGGGACCCCTCCAAGAGTTTCGGGGTCACCTCGGGGCTGCTCCCGGCGTTTCGGGGTCACCCCAGCCGGAGCCGTGCCCGGGTTTGGGGCGCCCGTCCCCGGCTCCCAGCCAGGCCCGTGGGGATCCTCCTCCTCCTCCTCCTCATCACATCCCAGCCGGGAACTGGGGAATGTCCCTCGGGAGTTCCGGGCTCCGGGAGAAAACTTCCCCAGGGGATAAATCCGGGGAAGCGGCCGGAGGCATAAACACGAGCTCGAGGTTTCCCGTGGTTTTGGGGTTTTTGGGGTCAGGACGAGGCTCCGGAGCCCTCAGGGGTCAGATCCCGACGGGTCTGGAAAAGAAGGATCAGGAATTTCAGCTCTGGGTGGGAAAGGAGCCGGCAGAGACATCAAAATATAATAATAAAAAATAAATAGTAATTTTTAAAACGTAAAAATTAAAATAAAGTAAGACAAGGTAAGATAAAAAGTAAAATAAAATAAAGTAAAATAAAATAATATAAAAAAAATATAAAAATAAAATAAAATAAAATAAAGAAATAAAATGTAATAAAAAAATAAAATAAAATAGAATAAAATAAAATAGAATAGAACAATGAAATAAAATAAAATAAAATGAAAAAATAAAATAAAATAAAACAAAATAAAATAAAATAATAAAATATTTCCCACAGCTTTTCCCTGTCAAACCCCGTCCACTTTGTGAACCCAACTCAGGGAATTCCGGCTCCCGGACGGAAAAGGACCCGCGGGGACGCTCGGGAGCACCGGGAAATTCGGGAGGCGGGAGGAGCTCGGGGGATTTGGGGGGCCGGGGCTCTCCGGAGGCGGCAGGTGGCGGATGCGCGGCGGGGGCGGGGCGGCCTTTGTGTCGCAAATGAGCCCCGTCTGTCCCCGCTGGCTGTCCCTCTGTCCCCCCCTGTCCCTCTGTCCCCCTGTCCCGTCTGTCCCCGTCTGTCCCCGCTGGCTCCGCTCCCGGCAGATGGAGCGGCCGCAGCTGCTCCGGGATCCGCAGGGAGCCCCGAGCGCCCGGCCCTGCTCAGCATCCTCTTCCTCATCCTCATCCTCATCCTCATCCTCATCCTCATCCTCGTCATCCTCATCCTCTTCATCCTCATCCTCATCCTCATCCTCGTCATCCTCATTCCCATCCTCATCCTCATCCTCGTCATCCTCATCCTCGTCATCCTCATCCTCTTCTTCCTCATCCTCATCATCATTCCCATCCTTATCTTCTTCACCCTCATCTTCTGCATCCTCATCCTCCTCCTCACCTTTATTTATCCTTATCTTTATTTATTTATCTTTATCTATCATCTTCATCGTCCTCCTCCTCTTCCTCCTCATCTTTATTTATTTATCATTATCTTTATTTTACCTTTATTTATCTTTATCTTTAATCTTTATCTATCATCCTCATCCTCCTCCTCATCTTTACCTTCTCTTTATCTATCATCCTCATCCTCCTCCTCATCTTTATTTATTTATTTATCTTCATCTTTATCTTCTCTTTATCATCCTCATCTTCCTCATCATCTTTATTTATTTATCTTTATTTTATCTTTATCTTTATTTTATCTCTATCTTTATCTTTATCATCTTTATCTTCATCCTCATCTTCATCCCCGCTGCCTTCCCTGCAAATCCGGGCGCGTCCCGGGAAAGGGGGAGAAACTTTGGAATGGGAAAAGCGGCTGGGAATGAGCCGGGAATGAGCTGGGAATGAGCTGGGAATCAGCCGGGAATGAGCCGGGAATGAGCTGGGAATGCTCCTCTCTCTCCTTTCCTTCCTCCTCCTCCTCCTCCTCATCCCCGGCTGGCGCACCTGAAATCTGGGAATGCCACGGGAGAAACTTCGGAATGGGAAAAGCGGCTGGGAATGGATCCCAAACCCCACCGGGACGGGGCAGGGACGGCCCCGATCCCGATTTTTTAAAGGCTGGGATGGTGGGAATTTGTTCCCCCCAAAAAATCCGGGAAGAGCCGCCCGGCAGCTCCCAAAATCCCGAGAGAGGTGGAGTCTTCCACGTGGAATCTCCTGAAGAAATTCCCGGGAATTTGGTGTTCGGGGTCACCCCCGGGAGTCCTCGGCTCGGTTTGACTCCGAGAGACGGGAATTTGGGGATTTGGGAATTTGGGGATTCGGCCCCTTGAGCTGCCCTGTGAATCCGGAATTCCCGGGAATTTGGGGTGGATCCCACACCTGGATGGGAAGCAGGAGACTTTTTTTTTGGGAAAACTCAAGTTTCATTCCCGGATCCAAACAAGCTCTGGGTTATCCCGGAGCTTTTCCTTGGGGCGGAATTCCTGCTCCCAGCGCCTCTTTTCCCTTTCTTTTTTTGGGGTTTGAAAACTGCCCAATTCCCGAATCCAGCCGCTCCAAGGATTCCTGGTCAGCCTCCACCTCTCCCAGAAAAACCCCGGAATTCTTCCCAGCTCCTCCCTCGCCCTTTTCCTCCCACTCCCGACCCGTGGAGGGACAAAATTCCCGATAATTTTCCTTGGAAACCAAACGCATCCAGGACCCCAATTCCAGGCGGGTTCTTTTCCTTTTCCCCTCTCCCAAACCCTCCCAGGAAAAATCCTTTTTCCAGAGGCATTTGGGAGCCAAACCTGGCAGTGGGATCGAGCCTTCTTCCCGGGAATCTGGAGCCGAATCCCGGCTTTTTGAGCCATTCCCGATCCCTGGAAAAGCCGCCTTACCCCGAGTCCCGCACCATTCCCAGGTTCCAGGATTTCTCCTCCAGGTATTCCCAGGCTTTGGAACCCGCTCCGCTCATCCATCCACGGAGGAAGAAGGGAAAAACTTTCCCTGGATTCTCCCGAGGTCCCGCGACGGATCCGGGATGGGAACCCGGGATCAATCCCGGAATTCCCGGGGCGGCAGCGCCGCTCCGGAGCCTCCGAGGAGGAAATTCGCCGCTCCCCCCAAAAATTCCCAATTTATCCACCCCGGGCCCGACCCCGGGAGCCTCATTGGCCTCTCCCGCTCCCCCTCCCTTTTCCCTCATAAATATGGAAAAGCGGGAATTCGGGATTCCATTGGCTGCGCGCAGCCCCCCGGGAGGGGCGCGCTGGATGCGCGCCGGGAAAAGGCGACAGCTGCTCCCGGTGCTCCTTTCCAGCGGGAATTCGGGCCGGGAAAAGGGGGAAAAGAGCCTGGGGCGGCATTCCCGGTCACGAAAATTGGGAAAAGGGAGCCTGGAGCGGAATTCCCAGTCCTGAAAATTGGGAAAAGGGAGCCTGGAGCGGAATTCCCGGTCCCGAAATTGGGAAAAGGGAGCCTGGAGCGGAATTCCCGGTGGTTCCCGAGGCTCCGGAGCCCTCGGGTGATCCCTGAGGACGCTGCGGGTCCCTTTGGGATCACCCAGAGCTTCCATCCCATAAATCCCGCCTGGAAAATTCACCTGTGGTGGAGAGGGAAAAGTGAAAGGGAGGAACCCGGGAAAAACCCGGGAATATCCCGGGAAGAGCCGGGAATGCGGCCCCGAGCGCAGCCGGGACACAGCGACCTTTGGGGCCGGCTCTGCTCTCGCCTTTCTGGGGTTGTCCCAGTTCAGCTCTGGGGAAATCGGGGAAAATCGGGGAAAATCGGGGAAAATCAGGAAAATCGGGAAATCGGGAAATGCGCCGCAGCTCCAGGGAGATCCCAGAGCCCCCGTCCCGAATTTGGGATCCTCCCGGAGCTCCCGATCCGCCCGGGACCTTCCCCCGCTGCCAGGGCCGCGCTCGGGATCCCTGTCCCTGTCCCTGTCCCATCCCTGTCCCTGTCCCTGTCCCTGTCCCTGTCCCTGCTCCATCCCGCCCGGGACCTTCCCCCGCTGCCAGGGCCGCGCTCGGGATCCCTGTCCCTGTCCCATCCCTGTCCCTGTCCTTGTCCCTGTCCCTGTCCTTGTCCTGTCCCTGTCCTTGTCCCTGTCCCCGCTCTGTCCCCGCTCTGTCCCGGCTCTGTCCCAGTTGTCCCCGCTCTGTCCCCGCTCTATCCCGGCTCTATCCTGGCTCTGTCCCCGCTCTGTCCCGGCTCTGTCCCCGTTGTCCCCGCTGTCCCCGGCGCTGCCATGGCGATGCTGGCGGCGCTGGCGGTGCCGGCCCTGGCTCTGTCCCCGCCGCTGTCGCCAGCTGAGCCCCGCGTGTCGCCGCCCGCGGCTCCGGGGCCGTTCCGGGAGCAGCTGCGAGAGCGGGGCCCGGGCGGGAGGGGCGGGACCGGGACCGGGACCGGGACGGGAAACGGGGACAGAAGAGGGACAGGAACGGGAGGGAGGACAAGGGGACACGGACGGGGACAGGGACAAGAGAGGGGGACAGGGACAGGGAGCGTCCCCGGGTCTGGGGACACGGAATGGGGACAGAGCCCGGAGCGGCTCCCGGAGCATTCCCGATGCAGCCGCATCCCAAATCCTCATCCCAAATCCGCATCCCGCATTCCCGAATTCCCTCCCCACCGCCCCAAGGGGATTTTTTGGGATCGTTCCCGGCCCCTCCCGCATCCATCACTCCCCATCCCGAATCCCAAACCCCAAATCCCACATCCCAAATCCGCATCCATCACCCCAAAGCCCAAATCCCACATCCCAAATCCGCATCCATCACCCCAAACCCCAACTCCCACATCCCAAATCCGCATCCATCACCCCAAACCCCAAATCCCACATCCCAAATCCGCATCCATCACCCCAAAGCCCAAATCCCACATCCCAAATCCGCATCCATCACCCCAAAGCCCACGCTCCCACCCCGAACCCCCTCCCCTTTGCCCCGAGGGGATTTTTTGGGATGGTTCCCGGCGCGGCCGCAGCTGAGGCCGCCGCTCCGGGCGCGATTCCAGGCGGGAATGAGGCGGGAGCGAGCGCAGCCCTCCCCCTGCCAGCGCTTCCCGCCGGGAATTCCGGGCTCCGCTCCCATCCCGCTGCTCCTGGAATGGGGTCGGGGCTCCAGGCTCTCCCCAAAACGGGGATCGGGATGGGGCTGGGATCCCTTTCCCGGGAAATTCCCTTCGGGATGGTCCCGGCTCAGTTTTCCTCCTTTTCCCACCTGGAATTGCCGGGACTGGGGGATTCCAGCCGGGGTGTGCTCAGATCCCAAAGATCCCATGGACTCGGGAAGGTTCTGCTGGGATTTTGTTCATTCCCAGTCCCAGGAATTCCTGGGATTTGCTCATTCCCAGTCGCGGCTCCAGGCCATGATCCCGATTTCCCGGCTCAATATCCCGAATTCTCAGCCCACTATCCCACATGATCCCGATTTCCCGGCTCAATATCCCAAATTCCCGGCTCATTATCCCGAATTCCCGGCTCATTATCCCGAATTCCCTGCTCAATATCCCAAATTCTCAGCCCATTATCCAAATTTCAGGCCCATTATCCCGAATTCCCAGTTCAATATCCCGAATTCCCGGCTCAATATCCCGAATTCTCAGCCCATTATCCCAAATTCCAGGCTCATTATCCCGAATTCTCAGTTCAATATCCCGAATTCCCGGCTCAATATCCCGAATTCCAGGCCCATTATCCCGAATTTTGGCTCCATCTGGCCCATCCCTTCCTTTGTGTCCTTCCCATCTGTTATCCCAAAGCTTTTCCCGATCCTCTCCTCCCTTTCCATGAGTTATCTGGGATACCAAATCCCATCCCTTTTACCCACCCAACCACAAATCCCAAACTTCCCCCAATCCCAAATTCCCAATTTCCCAGACTCCCAGCGTTTGAGGGGAAAAAACCTGGAAATAAAGAAACTTTCCTTGGGAATTCCATGGATTTATTTATAATATTTACAAATCCCAGGGAAAAAGGGGACTTTTTCCATTGGGATATTCCCAGACCCCCTGGAATTCCTCACAATTCCCAAAAAAACCCTCCCCCTTTACCCTTCCTTTATCTGGATTTTGGGAAAAGTTCCACCCTGGGAAACAGGATGGATCCCACTGGGAATTCTTAGAAAATTTTGGGAATTTGCCACTCCGGGCACAGGACCTACCCAGAAATTCCAGGAATTTGCCACTCAGGCAAACAGGAATTTTGGGAATTTTTCACTCAGAGCATCCAATCCAAATGGGAAATTTTCACTCAGGGCATTGAATCCAAATGGGAATTTTGGGAATTTTTCACTCAGGGCACTGGATCCAACTGGGAATTTTGGGAATTTCCCACCCAGGGCAGTGGATCCCACCTGAAATTCTGGGAATTTCCCCCCCAGGGCATCGATCCCACCCGGAATTCCGGATTTCCCGGGAACATCTCTGGCACCTCCAGCGCCGGGAGCTCCAGGGAGGATTCCTGAGGCTTTTCCAGGAGTTTTTCCCGGGTTTTCAGTAGCCGGAGGGGCCGGGCGGGGCCGGGAGGCCGAAGAGCAGCGAGGCCTTGGAATTGATGAGGAAGGTGCAGAGCAGGGACAGGAGCAGCACCAGCACGCCCAGGGCCAGCGTCAGCAGCTGGGAACACGGGAATTCCGGATATTGGGAATCGGGAATGGGGGATTCAGGGATTTGGGATTGCCCCAGGGATCCCCGGGATGTGGATTTGGGATCTCCAGGATTCACGGGATGAAGGGGCAGAGCAGGGACAGGAGTGGCACCAGGAGATGGGAAAAAGGGGAATTTGGGATTGGGATATTGAGGATATTGGGAATTGGGATAATTGGGAATTGGGATATTGGGGATTGGGAATTTGGGATATTGGGACGCCCAGGGCCAGCGTCAGCAGCTGGGAAACGGGAAAACGGGAATTCCGGATATTGGGAATCGGGAATTTGGGGATTTGGCATTGCCCCACGGATCCCAGGGATCCCTGGGATGTGGATTTGGGATCTCCAGGATTCACGGGATGAAGGGGCAGAGCAGGGACAGGAGTGGCACCAGGAGATGGGAAAAAGGGGAATTTGGGGAATTGGGATATTGGGAATTTTGAATATTTGGGACACTGGGGATTGGGATACACCCAGGGTCCCTCCCTGTCCCCCCTGCTCCGTCCCCTTTGTCCCCTTTGTGTCCCTCCCTGCGTCCCCTCAGATCCCCGGGATGTGGATTTGGGATCTCCAGGATTCACGGGATGAAGGGGCAGAGCAGGGACAGGAGTGGCACCAGGAGATGGGAAAAAGGGGAATTTGGGATTGGGATATTGAGGATATTGGGAATTGGGATAATTGGGAATTGGGATATTGGGGATTGGGAATTTGGGATATTGGGAATTTGGGATATTGGGAATTTTGAATATTTGGGATATTGGGAATTTTGAATATTTGGGATATTGGGGATTGGGATACACCCAGGGTCCCTCCCTGTCCCCCCTGCTCCGTCCCCTTTGTCCCCCTTGTGTCCCTCCCTGTCCCTGTGTCCCTGTCCCATCCTTCTGTCACTCTGTCCCATCCCTGCGCCTGTCCCGTCCCTGTGTCCCTGTTCCCATGTCCCTGTCCCCTGGGTGTCCCCTCCATGTTCCCTGTGCTCTGTCCCTGTGTCCCTGTCCCCTCCCTGTGTCCCATCCCCGTGTCCCTGTCCCATTCCAGATTGGGATACACCCAGGGTCCCTCCCTGTCCCCCCTGCTCCGTCCCCTTTGTCCCCTTTGTGTCCCTCCCTGCGTCCCCTCAATGTCCCTGTCCCTGTGTCCCTGTCCCATTCCAGTCCCTGTGTCCCCTCCCTGTGTTCCCTCGGTGTCCCCATCCCCGTGTCCCTGTCCCCGTGTCCCTGTCCCTGTGTCCCTGTGTCCCCATCCCCGTGTCCCTGTCCCCGTGTCCCTGTCCCCGTGTCCCTGTGTCCCTGTCCCCGTGTCCCTGTCCCTGTCCCTGTGTCCCTGTCCCCGTGTCCCTGTCCCCGTGTCCCCCGGGTCACCTCCAGCTCCCTGCTGGCCACCAGGAAGATGCGTGCCCGGATGTCCTTCCAGCGGCTCTCGGTCCAGGTGGAGAATTCCCGGGAATCCCAGCGGCGCAGCTCGAAGGCCGGGGACAGCGCGGGGGACAGACGGACGCCGGAGCGGACACAGCCGGGAACGCGGGACGAGGAATTCCCGTCCAGGGGGCCCTGCACCCACCAGTACTCGTACAGCTGGGATGGCACAGGGAAAACGGGGATTACAGCTGGGAATAACGGGAATTACACAGGGAAAAATGGGAATGAGAGCTGGAAATGGCACAGGAACAATGGGAATTACACAGGGAAAAACGGGAATGAGAGCTGGGATAACGGGAATTACAGCTGGGATAATGGGAATTACAGCTGGGATGGCACAGGGAAAAATGGGAATGAGAGCTGGGATAACGGGAATTACACAGGGAAAAATGGGAATTACAGCTGGAAATGGCACAGGAACAATGGGAATTACACAGGGAAAAACGGGAATGAGAGCTGGGATAACGGGAATTACAGCTGGGATAATGGGAATTACAGCTGGGATGGCACAGGGAAAAATGGGAATGAGAGCTGGGAAAATGGGAATTACACATGGAGAGGCAGGAATTACAGCTGGGAAATGGGAATTACAGCTAGGAAAAAAGGGAGCTACACACGGGAAAACCCAAATCCCATCCTGTTATCCCAAGGATCACCTCGGGCTGCGTCCCCGCGGTTTTCCCGGGATTCTGGCCCCATTCCCAAATCCCGGCTCACCTCAGGCTGCGTTCCCGGCGTTTTCCCGGGATTCTGGCCCCATTCGGAATTACAGCTGTGGAATGGGAAAAATGGGATTGGGTAATGGGAATAACGGCTCTGGGGAATGGGAAAATGGGAAAAGTGGGAAAAATGGGATTAGGGACGGGGATTACAGCTCTGGGGAACTGGAAGAATGGGATTTGGGAATGGGAATTCCAGCTGGGGAACAGGAATTCCAGCTGGGAAATGGGAAAAATGGGATTGGGAATGGGAATTACGGCTGGGGAATGGGAGAACCGGGAAAAGTGGGAACAACGGGATTGGAGATGGGAATTACGGCTCTGGGGAATAGGAATTACAGCTGTGGAATGGGAAAAATGGGACTGGGGATGGGAATTCCGGCTCTGGGGAATGGGAAAAAGGGGATTGGGAATGGGAAGAATGGGAATTCCAGCTGAGGAATGGGAATTCCAGCTGGGGAATGGGAAAAATGGGATTGGGAATGGGAATTCCAGTTCTAGGGATGGGAATTCTGGCTCTGGGGAAGGTCAAAAACAGAATTTGGGAATGGGGAATCACAGCTGGAAAAATGGGGATTAGAGAGGGGAAAATGGGGATTGGAGAGGGGAAAAATGGGAATCACAGCCGGGGAAAATGGGGATCACAGCTCATGGGAATCCCAGCAGGAAAAAGAGGAATTCCAGCCAGGAATCCAGCTGGAAAAGCGGGAATGGGGCTCTCTCCTCACCCAGGATTCCCTTCTGGTCGGGTTTGATCAGGGACTGGAACCAGGAGTTGTTGGAGTTGAGCAGGAATCCGTAGAGCAGCCGAGTGACCTGGGAAAAACCCGGAATTCCCTCGGGAAAAGAGCCCAGGGATGGGAGGAGCTCCCAGGAAAATCGGGAATTCCAGGAAAATCCGGGATCCCAGGAAAATCGGGGATTCTGATTCCAGGGATCCCAGGAAAAAAGAATGGGGATTCCAATTCCAGGGATTTCAATTTTAGGAATCCCAGTAAAATTGTGGATTGGAATTCCAGGAAAATCAGGGATTGTCACTCCAGGGATTCCAGTCCCAGGGGTTCCAATCCCACAAATCCCATGAAATCCAGGGATTCTAATTCCAGGGATTTTTGGAGATTCTGACTCCAGAGATTTCAGTAAAGAACGGGGATTCCAATTCCAGGAAAATTGGGGATTTCAATCCCAGAGACTCCAGGAAAATTGGGGATTCCAGGGAAACTGGGGCTGCCAGGCTGACTGTGGATTGCCACCGCAGCATTCCCAGCAGGAATTCCCAGCAATCCCAGCAGGAACTCCCAGCGGGAACTCCCAGCATTCCCAGCAGGAATTCCCAGCAATCCTAGCAGGAATTCCCAGCACTCCCAGCAGGAATTCCCAACATTCCCAGCAGGAATTCCCAGCAGGAATTCCCAGCAGGATTCCTACCGTTCTGGGATCCGCCCGGATGCTCTCGGTGCCGGCGCCTCCCCCGGCCAGGGAGAACAGAGCCCGGGCCAGCAGCGTGGCCACCTCGGCCAGGGCCTGGAGAACGGCAACAAATCCGGGAATTCTGGGAATTCCGGGAATGGGAATTCCCAGGAAAACGGCCGGGATCAGTGTCCAGCCTGCAGCTCCCCCATCCCAACGCTCCCGGGTCCTTCCCGCCCGCATTCCCAGCTTTTCCCTCCTCTTCCCATTCCCAAACCCCTCGGGATTCATTCCCACCCCTTTCCCAAGCTTCTCCTCCCTCTCCCAACCCCAAATCCCTCCCAGCTCCTTCCCAACTTTTCCCACCTTCTTCCTGCCTTTCCCTCCCCTCCAAATCCCATTCCTGCCTGGATCCCAAATCCCAAGAATCCCTTGGATCCCAAATCCCAGGTCCCAAATCCCAGGAATCCCCTGGATCCCAGACCCCAGGAATTCCCATCTCCCAGAACCCAGGAATCCCCACGATCCCGAACCCCAGGAATTCCCATCTCCTGAACCCCAGGAATTCCCATGATCCCAAATCCCAGGAATCCCCTGGATCCCAAACCCCAGGAATTCCCATCTCCCAAACCCCAGGAATTCCCGGGAATCCCCTGGATCCCAGACCCCAGGAATTCCCATCTCCCAGAACCCAGGAATCCCCACTCCCTCCCAGCTCCTTCCCAACTTTTCCCACCTTCTTCCTGCCTTTCCCTCCCCTCCAAATCCCATTCCTGCCTGGATCCCAAATCCCAAGAATCCCTTGGATCCCAAATCCCAGGTCCCAAATCCCAGGAATCCCCTGGATCCCAAGCCCCAGGAATCCAGGAATTCCCGGGAATCCCCTGGATCCCAAACCCCAGGAATTTCCATTCCCAGACCCCAGGAATTCCCGGGAATTCCCATCTCCCAAACCCCAGGAATCCGGAATTGGAATCCCCTGGATCCCAAGCCCCAGGAATCCAGGAATTCCCGGGAATCCCCTGGATCCCGAGCCCCAGGAATCCGGAATCCCGGGAATGCCGCGGGACCTTGGCGGTGTCGGTGACGAACTCCAGGCGCTGCTCGGGGCTCAGCCCCTCGGGGTAGCGCATCCCGATGCTCTCGGCCGTGTCGTAGATGCTCTGGAAGTACCTGGGAACAAACCCGGGAAAAATCCGGGATGGGGCCGCGATTCCCGGAAAAACCCCTGGAGAAGGGACCCGGGAATTCCCAGGAATTTAACAAGGAGGGCTCGGAATTCCGAAGCTTCTCCCGAGGGATTTTCTGGGATTAACGAGGAGGGTTCGGAATTTGCTCTTCCCAAGCTTTTCTCATTGGAATTCCAGGGATTTTCCAGGCTGTGGTTGGAGTTTCGGAGCCCATTCCATGAGCTGGGAGGGGAAAATTCCCAAAGGATCCAAGGAAAAGATGGGAATTCCAAAGGGTTTTATCAATGAGAGATTCATCATCCACCAATGGCCAATCCTGGACAGAATTCCAAGGGAATTTGATTCCCAGGAAAGCCAGGATGATCCCAAGGAATCCCAGAGCTGGGATTTGGGCTGTTTGGGACTCCCAAATTCCTGCCACGAATCCAAGAATTCCTTTGGAAAAGCCGGAGCGGGGTCACGGGGGGTGATCCCAAAAAACCCCTGGAACTGCAGAGGAAACAGCCGGGAAATAATTCCATAAAAAATTCCGGGAGCAGCCTCCGGAAGCGCAGCTGCGGCTCCGGCGCCTCCGGCTCCGGCCGGGCTCCGCGCCAGGAACCTTCTCCCAAAAAAAGGCCGGAATTTTCTCTCGCCTGTCCGAGCAATTCCCTCCCGCTCTTCCGAGCATTCCCAGAATTCCCACTGCGGGGGGTGGTTCCCACGGGAAGGGCCAAATCCGGCTGAAAATCCCGGATTTTCGGGATGGCAAGGTGGGATCCTGCTGGAATGCCTGGAATTCCTGGATTTTACCTATCCTGGAATTCCCAGAAATCCTGGATATTTTACCTGTTCCAGAATTCCTGGATTCCCCAGGTTTACCTGTTCTGGAATTCCCAGAATTCCAGGAATTGTACCTTTACTGGAATTCCCAGAATTCCTGGATATTTCACCTATTACAGAATTCCTGGATTCCATAGGTTTTATCTGCGCTGGAATTCCCAGATTTTACCTGTTCCAGAATTCCAGGCTTGTACCCGTCTCAGAATTCCCAGATTTTGTACCTGTTCTGGAATTCCCAGAATTCCTGGATTTTGTACCTGTCCTGGAATTCCCAGATTTCCTGGGTTGCTCCCGCCCCACAATTCCCAGCATTCCTGGATTTTACCCGTCCCGATTCCCAGAATTCCTGGATTTTGTACCTGTCCTGGAATTCCCAGATTTCCTGGGTTGCTCCCGCCCCACAATTCCCAGCATTCCTGGATTTTACCTGTCCCAGAACTCCTGAAATTCCCGGATTTTACCCGTCCTGGAATTCCCGGATTTTACCCGTCCTGGAATTCCTGGATTTTACCTGTCCTGGAATTCCCAGAATTCCCGGAATTCCCGGATTTACCTGTTGTGGAAGGCGGCGCGGTGGTCGCTCAGCACCACCCCCGGGATGCTCCGGGATCTCAGGAACCTCTGGAATGACGAGGGGGGGAGGGGCTGGGACACCCCCGGCTCCTGCAGGGAAACGTTGGAGCCGGAGCTGCTGTTCCGGAGCGCTTCCAGGATCTTCTGCACCTGGAAAAGCAGGAATTCCGGGAATTCCGGGAATCCCCAGGGGTGCTGGGACGGGGAGCTGAAATCCTGCTGGAAATCCTGGAGTTTTGGTTGGAATATCCACGGAAAAGGGAGGCTGGGATCAGCCCAAGGGGATTTTTGGGATGGAATTCCCACTGGGAATTTGAACTGGACGGAATTCCCATCAGGAATCTGAACTGGATGGAATTCCCACTGGGAATTTGAAGGGGATGGAATTCCCAGTGGGAATTTGAAGCGGATGGAATTCCCAGTGGGAATCTGAGCTGGACAGAATTCCCTCTGGGAATCTGAAGCAGATGGAATTCCCAGTGGCAATTTGAACTGGATGGAATTCCCATCAGGAATTTGAAATCCTATGAGAGATCCCAGATTTTGCTGGGAATATCCCAGGAATTGTGGCAGGGCTTGGGATTTCTGGGAAAAGCTCTGAGCCTGGGATGGCTCCCAGCGAGGAGGGCAAGGAATTCCCAGGGATTCTTTGGGATGGGAACATTCCCGGGATTCCGGGCTCACCTGGAATTCCACGGATTCGTTGCGGCGGGAGACGGGATCCGTGTGCATCCAGAGCATGGAATTGTTCCTCAGGGACACCTGGAAAACAGCCCCAGGGTGGGAATTCCAGGGAAAAATCAGGGCTGGGATGGGAATTCCGGGGAAAAAACAGCCCCTGGATGGGAATTCCAGGGAAAATCAGGGCTGGGATGGGAATTCCGGGGAAAAATCAGAGCTGGAATTGGAATTCCAGGGAAAACTCAGCCCCTGGATGGGAAAAATATGGGCTGGGATGGGAAATTCAGGGAAAAATCAGTGAATTCCAGGGGAAACTCAGGGAATTCCGGGGGAATCTCAGGGAATTCCGGGGGAATCTCAGGGAATTCCCGGAAAGGACCCCTGGGAATGTTTTCCCGGGGAGCGGCCCGACCTGGCCCAGCTCCAGGAAGGCCTCGATGTTGTCCAGGCGCAGCGGGAACTTCTCCTGCTCCATGTCAAACACCAGGCGCGAGCTGCCGATGTAATCAAAGGTCTCCTGGGAAAGGGGAAACGCTCGGAATTCCGGCATGAGGAAAGGGAATGGGAATGGGAAAGGGAATGGGGAAAAGGGGAAACGCCCGGAATTCCGGATGAGGAAAGGGAATGGGAATGGGAATGGGGAACAGGGGAAACGCCCGGAATTTCGGCGTGAGGAAAGGGAGGGGAGGGGGGAAAGGAAGGGGAAAGGGGGAAATGGGAATGGGAAAGGGGGAAATGGGAATGGGAAAGGGGGAAATGGGAATGGGAAAGGGGGAAATGGGAAAAGAAAAGGAAAAGAGAAAGGAGGGAGGGAAAGGGAAAGGGGAAAAGGGGAAATGGGGAAAGGGAAAAGAGGAAAGGAAAAGAGGAAAGGGGGAAAAGCAAAGCAAAAGAGAAATGAGGAAGGGAAAGGGGAAAGGGGAAAAGGAAAACGGGAAAAGCAAAGGAAAAGGGAAAGGAGGAAGGGAAAGGGGAAACGGAAAGGGGAAAAGGGGAAAAGCAAAGGAAAAGGGAAAGGAGGAAGGGAAAGGGGAAACGGAAAGGGGAAAAGGGGAAAAGAAAAGGAAAAGAGAAAGGAGAGAGGGAAAGGGAAAGGGGAAAAGGAAAGGGGAAAAGCAAAGGAAAAGGGAAAGGAGAAGGATCTGGCGCTCACCCCCTGGAAGAAGACGAAGAGCACGTTCCGGGGCAGCTGCTGGGAGCCCGGGGCCGCCTGCAGCGCCTGCGCAGCCGCCAGCAGCGCCACGAAGGAGCCGACGGCCGCCTCGGCCCCCGGGGCCACGTTCCAGAAAAACGAGTGGCTGTCCACCTGGAAAAGGGGAAATGGGAATATTCTGGGAAAATGAGGGGCTGGCCACCTGGGAAATGGGAATGGGACAGGGAAAATGAGGGGCTGGCCACCTGGAAAAGGGGAAATGGGAATGGGACAGGGAAAACGAGGGGCTGTCCACCTGGAAAAGGGGAAATGGGAATGGGACAGGGAAAACGAGGGGCTGGCCAACTGGAAAAATGGGAATGGGACAGGGAAAACGAGGGGCTGGCCACCTGGAAAACGGGAAAATGGGAATGGGACAGGGAACCTCCCAGAAAAATGATTTCCAGTGGATTTTCATGGTGCTTTTTCATGACTTTTCCAAGCTTTTTTCAGGATTTTTCTGGGATTTTAATCAGGATTTTTTTCAGAATTTCCCCAGGATTTCTAAGGAATATTTCTGGGATTTTCCCATGATTTTCCTGTAGATTTTTCCCGGACATTTCCCAGGGGTTTTTCCCAAGGATTTCCCCAGGATTTTTTCCATGATTTCCCCAGGATTTCCCCATGATTTTCTGAGAGATGTTCCCAGGACTGTCCCCGGGATTTTCCCAGGATTTCTCCAGGATTTTCCCCATTATTTCCCCAGATTTCTCCAGGGATTTTCCCAAGATTCTCCCCACGATTTTCCCAGGATTTTTCCCATTATTTCCCCATGATTTTCCCTGGATTTCTCCAGAGATTTTCCCAAGATTCCCCCCAGGATTCTTCCCAGGATTCCCCCAACTTTCCCAGGATTTTTCCCGGAATTCCCCCACGATTTCCCCAGAAATGTTACCAGGATTTTCCCGTGGATTTTCCCAGGATTTTTCCCATTTGATTTTCCTGTAGATTTTTCCCGGACATTTCCCAGGGATTTTTCCCAAGGATTTTCCCAGGAATTTCCCCACTATTTTTCTGAGATGCTCCCAGGATTTTTCCCATTATTTCCCCATGATTTTCTCCACTATTTTCCTCTGATTTCTCCAGGGATTTCCCCACGATTTTCCCCAAGATTTCCCCAGGATTTTTCCCAGATTTCTCCAGGGATTTTCCCATGATTCCCCCCAGGATTTCCCCCAGAATTTTCCCAGGATTTTTACCCACTATTTCCCCATGATTTTCCCCGGATTTCTCCAGGGATTTTCCCAAGACTCCCCCCAGGATTTTTCCCAGGATTTCTCCACGACTTTGCCAGGATTTTTCCCGGATTTTCCCGGGCACGCACCCTGGTGGCCGCCAGCAGGAGGCGCTGGCCGGGCTGCAGCCGGCCCGAGGCGTTGATGGGCTGCAGGGAGCTCCAGACGTTGTAATCCAGCAGCGGGTCACACACGATCTCTGGGAACGGGAAAACATTCCAGGGGTTGGGAAAAATCCAGGGAAAAATTGGAAAATTCTGACAGAAATGAGGAAAATTGGAATTCTGGGGGAGTTTTTATGGGAAAAAAAGGGATTGGTGGGATGCAGGGAGCTCCGGAGGTTGGAATTCCCAGCATTTCCTCAGGATTCCTCCAGGGTTTTCCTGGAGTTTTCCTGGGATTTTCCCAGGATTTCCCCGTGATTCCCCAGGGATTTCCTCAGCATTTTCCTGTGATTTCCCTGGGATTCTCCCATGATTTCCCCAGGATTTCCCCAGGATTCCCCAGGATGTCGCTGGGATTTTCCTGGGATTTCCTCAGTATTTTCCTGTGATTTCCCTGGGATTCTCCCATGATTTCCCCAGGATTCTCCCAGGATTTCCCCAGGATTCCCCAGGATGTCGCTGGGATTTTCCTGGGATTTCCTCAGTATTTTCCTGTGATTTCCCTGGAATTCTCCCATGATTTCCCTAGGATGCTGCCGGGATTTCCCCAAGATGTCCCCAGGTTTTTCCCAGAATTTCCCCATGATTCTTCCTGAATTTCCTCAGGATTTCCCCATGATTTTCCCAAGATTTGGGCTGCCGACCTGAGCTGATGCTGCAGCCCCAGTGCAGCAGCCCCAGCACTGACCTGGGTTGATGCCCCAGTGCAGCCCCCGTGCAGCACTGACCTGGGTTGATGCTGCAGGCGCTCTGCAGCCCCAGCAGTGCAGCACTGACCTGGGTTGATGCCCCAATGCAGCACTGACCTGGGTTGATGCTGCAGGCGCTCTGCAGCCCCAGCAGTGCAGCACTGACCTGGGTTGATGCCCCAATGCAGCCCCCGTGCAGCACTGACCCGGGTTGATGCCCCAATGCAGCCCCAGCACTGCAGCACTGACCTGGGTTGATGCTGAAGGCGCTCTGCAGCCCCAGCAGTGCAGCACTGACCCGGGTTGATGCCCCAGTGCAGCCCCTACCTGGGTTGATGCCCCAATGCAGCCCCCGTGCAGCACTGACCCGGGTTGATGCCCCAATGCAGCCCCAGCACTGCAGCACTGACCTGGGTTGATGCTGAAGGCGCTCTGCAGCGAGCTGCGGCGCATGCAGGTGACGGTGCTGGCGGCGGCGTGCATGTGTGCCTGCAGCTGCATGGCGCACAGCGGGAACTGCGGCGCCGCGCCCGGCGCCCGCGGCACGTTGTGGGCTCGGAAGCACTGCGGGCACACACACGGGGGGCTCACTTTCCATGGGGGGTTTGAAAGGTTTTGGGGGTTTTTGGGGTTTTTTGGGGGGTTTTTAGCAAAATTTTCAGGTTTCCAATGAATTTTTGGAGTGGATTTTTACAGATTTTAATGATTTTTAATTAGATTTTAATGGATTTTAACAAATTTTCAATGGATTTTAATGAATTTTCAATGGATTTTAACAAATTTTCAATGGATTTCTACTGATTTAAACAGTTTTAATTGGATTTTAATGAATTTTAATGAATTTCAAATGGATTTTTATGGACTTAAACAATTTTAAATTGGATTTTAATGAATTTTCAGTGGATTTTCAATGGATTTCAATGGATTTTTCAATGGATTTTCAATGGATTTTTCAATGGATTTTAACTGGATTTTAATGAATTTCCAATGGATTTTTATGGACTTAAACAATTTTAAATTGGATTTTAATGAATTTTCAGTGGATTTTCAATGGATTTCAATGGATTTTTCAATGAATTTTCAATGGATTTTTCAATGGATTTTAACTGGATTTTAATGAATTTCCAATGGATTTTTATGGACTTAAACAATTTTAAATTGGATTTTAATGAATTTTCAGTGGATTTTCAATGGATTTCAATGGATTTTTCAATGAATTTTCAATGGATTTTTCAATGGATTTTAACTGGATTTTAATGAATTTCCAATGGATTTTTTATGGATTTATATGATTTTTAATGGATTTTCATGGAGTTCAATGAATTTTCAATAGATTTTTCAATGGATTTTTCAATGGATTTTAATGAATTTCCAATGGATTTTTATGGATTTAAATAATTTTTAATTGGGTTTTAATGAATTTTCAATTTCAATGGATTGGATTTTTCAATGGATTTTTCAATGGATTTCAATGGATTTTAGTTGGATTTTCACAGATTTTAATGAATTTTCAATGAATTTCAATGGACTTTTCAATGGATTTTCAAGGCATTTCAATAGATTTTTATGGATTTCAATGGATTTTTCAATGAATTTTAATTGGATTTTAAGAGATTTTTAATGGACTTTAATGGATTTTTTACAGATTTTAACAGATTTTTAATGGATTTTAGTTGGATTTTCACAGATTTTAATGAATTTTCAATGAATTTCAATGGACTTTTCAATGGATTGTCAAGGCATTTCAATAGATTTTTATGGATTTCTCAATGGATTTTAATTGGATTTTAAGGGACTTTTCAATGGATTGTCAGGATTTTTTACAGATTTTAACAGATTTTGAATGGATTTTAACAGATTTTTAGCGGATTTTAACGGATTTTAATGGATTTTTAGCGGATTTTAACAGATTTTTAATGGATTTTAATTTTTTTCCCCCAGCCCTGTGTGATTTTTAATGGACTTTAATGGATTTTTTACAGATTTTAACAGATTTTGAATGGATTTTAACAGATTTTTAGCGGATTTTAACGGATTTTTAGCGGATTTTAACGGATTTTTAGCGGATTTTAATGGATTTTTAGCGGATTTTAATGGATTTTTAATGGATTTTTAATTTTTTTCCCCCAGCCCTGTGCCCCCAGCACCTCCTTGATGAGCTGGGTCTCGTTGGCATCCTGCAGCAGGAAGATGGGGAAGGGGAAATCCTCGTAGGAGAGCCCGGAGCCGCCCGGGTTCCACTCGGAGCCGTTGCAGTGAGCGAACTGCGGCCCGTAGGAGTCGGAGTAAACCCCTGGGAAACGGGGAGAAAACAGTGAAAAATGGGAAAAAACCAGAGAAAAAACAGGGAAAAACAGGGAAAGAACTGTGACCTGTAGGTGTCAGAGTAAACCCCTGACAAAATGGGAAAAAAAGAGGAAGAAAATGGGAAAAACTGGAAAAAAAAGTGAAAAATGGGAAAAGAACAGTAAAAAAAAAAAAAGGATAAAATGGGGAAAAACAGGGAAAAAAAAGTGAAAAAACAGGGAAAAAAAAGTGAAAAAACAGGGAAAAAAAAGTGAAAAAACAGGGAAAAAAAAGGGAAAAAACAGGGGAAAAATGGGGGGAAAGCCCAAGGAAAAACAAGAGAAAAATGTGAAGAAACAGGGGAAAAAATGAGGGAAAAATGGGGGAAAACTGGTGAAAAATTGGGAAAAAACTGGGGGGAAATTGGAAAAATATTGGAAAAAACCTCAAGAAAAAATATGGGAGAAAAAATGGGGAAAACCAGGGGGAGAAGTTGGGAATTTTGCTCACCAAATCCATCGTTGGGACACTTCAGTCCTGGGGAAAACCCTTCGGAAGGGGCAGGAGAGGCAGCGGCCACAGCCAGGCCTGAAACCCGGGAGGTTCCCTTCAGCTTCAGCAAAATCTCCCTGGAAAAGGGGAAAATGGGCTGGAATTTGGGATTTATCCATAAGGAATTGAAATTTGGGGATAAATCAAGGAAATGAAGGGAAAATCCCGGGATTTTTATCTTGGGAGGGACCAAAATGGTGGAAAACTGACAAGGCCGGAAATCCTGGAAATTCTCCTCAAGTGCAGTAAAACCTCTCTGGAAAAAGGGAAAAAGAGCTGGAATTTGGGATTTATCCAGAGAAATGTGAAATCCAGGGATAAATCAAGGGAATGAAGGGAAAATTCCTGGGATTTTTATCTTGGAAGGGCCCAAAATGGCGGAAAAACCAACAAGGCCAGAAATCCTGGATAATTCCCCTCAGGTGCAGCAAAACCTCTCTGAAAAAGGGAAAACAGGGCTGGAAACTGGGATTTATCCATGAATAATTGAAACCTGGGGATAAATTTAGGAAATGATGGGGAAATCCCTCGGAAAAATCTTGGAAGGGCCTAAAATGAGGGGAAAAAGCAGCAGGGAGAAAATTCCAGCCACGTCTTTCCTGCTCTTCCCAGGAAAAGCAGCCCCAAGTCCATCCCAAGTTTTATTTTCCCTGCTTTTTTAAAATCATGGATCAACATTCCACAGATTTGGGAGTCCAATCCCATAAAAAAAGAAGGAAAAATGAAGTTTAGGGAGGATTAAATCTTTGGAATCCCAGGAACGCCCCAAGCCCGGCGCTCGCGGTGCTGTGAGGATTCGGAAAAAGGGGATTTGATCCGGAATTTTGGTGTTCCCAACCCCAAAATCCCACCTGGAGAAGAGGTTCCCGTCCAGCAGGATCATGTAGGGGGGGTGGGGGCCTGTGGACAGGGCCCACTCCAGGTCCTCCATCTTCTCCACCACGTGGATCACGCCCGTGTCCCCGCTCAGAGAGGCTGGGGGGGGAAAAACGGGATCAGCCCCTCAGAATTCCAGGGAATCCCACTGAAAATCCATGGAATAGCAGGGGAGGGGTGTAAGGGGTTGAGGGGGAGAGCTGTGGGGTGGAAATGTGGGATTTGTCCCCTCAGAATTCCCTGGAAAAGCAGGAAAGAGTGGGATGAGGAATTTAGGCAAGAGCTGCGGGGTGGAAATGTGGGAATGATCCCCTCAGAATTCCAGGGAATCCCACAAAGATCCATGGAATATCCGGGAGGGGGGGTGAGGGTGAGAGCTGCGGGGTGGAAATGTGGGAATGATCCCCTCAGAATTCCAGGGAATCCCACAAAAAATCCCGAGGTTTTCCATGGAATAGCAGGGAGGGGGCGTGAGGGGTTGAAGGGGAGAGCTGTGGGATGGAAATGTGGGAATAATCCCCTCAGAATTCCAGGGAATCCCACCAAAAATCCATGGAATATCCAGGAGCGGGGTGAGGGGTTGAGGGGGTGAGCTGTGGGATGGAAATGTGGGAATGATCTCCTCAGAATTCCAGGGAAATCCTCCAGATTCCATGGCTCCCCATGGAAAAGCAGGGCAGGGGATTGAGAGGAAGAGCCGTGGGGTGGAAATGTGGGATTTGTCCCCTCAGAATTCCCAACATTCCCTGGAAGAGCAGGGCAGGGAGCTGAGGGGCTCCCACACCGCCAGGATCACCGGGAGGCTCCCCCAGACACCCCCCAGCACTCCCAAACTCCCAGGAATTCCTGAATTCCCAGATTCTCACACTGGCAGCTGATCTGGTGAATGGCACACAGAACCCCCCATGCCCCCAGCATTCCCAAATTCCCAGCATTCCCAGAATTCCCATTCCCTCACACTGGCAGCCGATCTGGTGTGTGGCGCACAGCCCCCCTCACACCCCAGCATTCCCAGCATTCCCAGGAATTCCCAGATTTCCCATTCCCTCACACTGGCAGCCGATCTGGTGCGTGGCGTTGAGCAGGGACAGCCCCCCTCACACCCCAGCATTCCCAGCATTCCCAGGAATTCCCAGATTCCTCACACTGGCAGCCGATCTGGTGCAGGGCACACAGCCCCCCTGACCCCTCTGGAATCCCCAGCATTCCCAGAATTCCCAAATTCCCAGCATTCCCCTCACACTGGCAGCCGATCTGGTGCGTGGCACACAGCATCCCTCACACCCCAGCATTCCCAGATTCCCAGGAATTCCCAGCATTCCCAGAATTCCCATTCCCTCACACTGGCAGCCGATCTGGTGCGTGGCGTTGAGCAGGCGCACGCAGGGCGCCGTGCGGTTCAGCGCGATGTAAATCTTCCTGTGCACCGAGTTCCCCTGGCAGCAGCCTGGGAGGGGCAGGAAAACAGCGGGATCAGAGACCAGGGAAAACGGGATCAGAACAGGGGGAGCAGCCGATCTGGTGCGTGGCGTTGAGCAGGCGCACGCAGGGCGCCGTGCGGTTCAGCGCGATGTAAATCTTCCTGTGCACAGAGTTCCCCTGGCAGCAGCCTGGGAGGGGGCAGGGAAACAGCGGGATCAGAACACGGGAAAAACGGGATCAGAACATGGGGAAAAACAGGATCAGAACACGGGGATGGGGCAGGGAAAACAGCGGGATCAGAACACGGGAAAAACGGGATCAGAACATGGGGAAAAACAGGATCAGAACACGGGGATGGGGCAGGGAAAACAGCGGGATCAGAACACGGGAAAAACGGGATCAGAACATGGGGAAAAACAGGATCAGAACACGGGGATGGGGCAGGAAAAACGGGATCAGAACACGGGGATGGGGCAGGAAAAACGGGATCAGAACATGGGAATGGGGCAGGGAAACAGCGGGATCAGAGACCAGGAAAAACGGGATCAGAACACGGGGAAAATGGGATCACGGACCGGGAAAAACAGGATCAAAACACGGGAATAAGGCAGGAAAAATGGGATCAGAACACGGGAAAAACAGGATCAGAACATGGAAATGGCACCGGAAAAACGGGATCAGAGACTGGGAAAAATGGGATCAGAACACGGGAATGGCACTGGAAAAATGGGATCAGAGACTGGGAAAAACAGGATCAGAACACAGGAATGGGGTGAGGGAAAATGGGATCAAAACATGGGAACGGCATGGGAAAAAACAGGATCAGGGACTGGGAATGGGCTGGGAAAAATGGGATCAGGGACTGGGAATGGGGCGGGAAAACGGGATGAGAAACTGGGAATGGGGCAGGGAAAGGGGGGAAGAATCCCCGCCCCGGGGTTTTAACCCCAAAACCTGGGAATGGGCTGGGAAAGGGAGAAGGGAACAACGGAGCCATTCCCGGGATTACCCCCGGGTTTGGGACCACAAAGGGGACATTGGGGACCCCAAAAGGGGCATTTGGGGGGGACAGGGACCCCTCCTCAGCCATGAGGGGACCCCAAAAGGAACACTGGGGACCCCAAAAGGGGCACTTCAGACCCCAAAACTGCCAATGGGGGTCCCAAAAGGGACATTGAGGACCCCAAAATGGGCATTGAAGAACCCAAAAGGGACTTTAGGGGCCCCAAAAGGGGAACTGGGGACCCCAAAAGTGCCCCCGGGGCGGCCTCGCCCCCTCAGGACCCCCCAGACCTCCCCTCCCCGCTCCCCCTCAGGCCTCACCCGCCGCCAGCGCGGCCACGAGCAGCGCGCGGAGCAGCCCCAGGGAACTGCGGAGCGCTCCCGGGGGATTCCAGGCCGCTCCCGGGGCACCCCAGCCCGCTCCCGGGGAGTCCCAGCCCCTTCCCGGGGCAGCCCGGCGCGGCCCCGCCGCCATCGCCGCCCGCGGCCGCTCCACTTCCGCGATGCGGCGGAAGTGACGGCGCTCGCGGTGCCGGTTTCCGGGGCGGTCCCGCGGTGCCGACGTGGAGGTTCCGGGCTTTGGCCGGGCCGGGCTGGGACCATGTTGACCAAATTCGAGACCAAATCCGCGCGGGTGAAAGGTGGGAAAAACCGGGATACACCGGGAATAAACCGGGATAAGCCGCGGTGCGGGGAGCGGGGAGCGGGAGCCGTGAGGGGAAGGTGGATTCCGTCATGGAGGGAGCGGCTGGGGGGGAATGGCGGATCCTGAGGGGGCTGAGGGGTGATCCCGGGGAAAGGGGAGATCAGGGGGATTTGGGATCGGATTTGGGATCGGATTTGGGATCTGATCCCGGGGAATGGGGCAGGGCCACAGGGAACGGCCTCGAGCTGTGCCCGGGCGGGAAATTTGGGATGGTTTTTCCATGGGGAAAGGGTTGGGAAGGAGAGGAAGGGGCTGAGGGAGGGCTGGATCCCATCCCTGGAGGGGTCTGAGGGATTCCAGGGGTTTTGTGAGGGAATTCCCGGGATTTTGTGCAAAGAATTCCCAGGATTTGGGCTGGGCTTGGGCTGAGAGGCTCCCCAGGATTTCCCCTGGATTTTCCCTCTGTTTTTCCCATCCTTTCCCTGTCCTTTCTTTGCCTTTTCCTCATCCTTTCTCAGACTTTTCCCTGCGTTTTCCCTCTTCTTTCCCAAGGTTTTCCCTCTCTCTTCCCCAGGTTTTTCCTCACCTTTTCCCCCACCTTTTTCCCATCCTTTTCCCAGTTTTTTTCCCCGGGTTTTCCCCCATCCTATCCCAGGATTTTTCCCAGCCCTTTTCCCAAGTTTTTCGCCATCCTATCCCAGGTTTTCCCCCATCCTTTTCCCAGTTTTTTTCCCCACCCTTTTCCCCATTTTTTTCCCATTTTTTCCTCACCCGTTTCCCAGTTTTTCCCCAGTTTTTTTCCTAGTTTTTTCCCCCACCCTTTTCCCACTTTTTCCCCAGGTTTTTTCCTAGTTGTTTTCCCCACCCTTTCCCCAGTTTTTCCCCAGTTTTTCCCCAGCTTTTCCCCATTTTTTCCCATTTTTCCCCACATCCCATTTTTTCCCCCACCCTTTCCCCAGTTTTTCCCCAGGTTTTTCCCATTTTTTCCCCCACCCTTTCCCCAGTTTTTCCCCAGGTTTTTCCCATTTTTTCCCCCACCCTTTCCCCAGTTTTTCCCCAGGTTTTTCCCATTTTTTCCCCCACCCTTTCCCCAGTTTTTCCCCAGGTTTTTCCCATTTTTTCCCATTTTTCCCCACGCTTTCTCCCGCTGCAGGGCTGTCGTTCCACCCCAAGCGGCCCTGGGTGCTGAGCAGCCTCCACAACGGCGTCATCCAGCTCTGGGACTACCGCATGTGCACCCTCATCGACAAGTTCGACGAGCACGACGGTGAGAACGGGGCGAAAAATGGGAAAACGGGAAAAAACGGGGAAAAAAAACGGAAAAAACGGGAGAAAATGGGAGAAAATGGGAGAAACCCGGGGGTTTTGGGGTCCCTGAGGTTCCCAAAGGTTTGGGGTGGGTCCCTTGTGCTCCCTCATGGACAAGTTCGACGAGCACGACGGTGAGAACGGGGCAAAAACCGACAAAAATGGGAAAAAATGGGGAAAAAATGGGAAAAAAAGGGGAAAAATGGGGGAAAATGGGAAAAAACAGGAGAAATCCGGGGGTTCTGGGGTCCCTGAAACGGGGGAAAAAATGGAAAAAATGGGAGAAAATGGGAGAGAATGGGAGAAACCCGGGGGTTCTGGGGTCCCTGAGGTTCCCAAAGGTTTGGGGTGGGTCCCTTGTGCTCCCTCATGGACAAGTTTGATAAGCACAAGGGTGAAAACGGGGCAAAAAGGGGGAAAAATGGGGAAAAAAGGGGAAAAATGGGGGAAAATGGGAAAAAACAGGAGAAATCCGGGGGTTCTGGGGTCCCTGAGAGTCCCAAAGGTTTGGGGTGGGTCCCTTGTGCTCCCTCATGGACAAGTTTGATAAGCACAAGGGTGAAAATGGGGCAAAAACGGGCAAAAAGGGGGAAAAAAGGGCAAAAAGGGGAAAAAAAAGGGAAAAATGGGGAAAAAAAAAGGAAAAAAATGGAAAATCCGGGGCTTCTGGGGGTTCTGGGGGCCCTGAGGTTCCCAAAGGTTTGGGGTGGGTCCCTGGTGCACCCTCATGGACAAGCTTGATGAGCAGGAGGGTGAAAATGGGGAAAAAATGGGAAAAACTTGGGGCAACCCAGAGAAAAATGGGAGAAATCCACGGGAAAATGGGAAAAAATGGGAAAAACTTGGGGCAACCCAGAGAAAAATGGGAAAAATCCACGGGAAAATGGGAAAAAATGGAAAAAAAAACCAGGAAAAACCTGGGAGTTCTGGGGGTTCTGGGATCCCCACAAGCCCATGGTGTCACCAGGTCTGGCTCTAAGGGGGGAAAATTCCCAAAAAATCGGGGAAAAAAAATCCCCAAAATTTGGGGAAAAATTCCCAGAAATTTGGGGGAAAAAATTCCCAAGGATTTCGGGAAGAATTCCCAAGGATTTCAGGAAGAATTCCCAGGGATTTCGGGAAGAATTCCCAGGGATTTCGGGGGGATTGCCCCCAGGTGGGGACGAGAGCCCCCGGGAACACCGAGCTTCCCCCGTTGCAGGCCCGGTCCGAGGCATCGACTTCCACAAGCAGCAGCCGCTCTTCGTCTCGGGGGGGGATGACTACAAAATCAAGGTCAGCGTTCCCAAATCCCCCCTTTTCCCCCCTTTTTTCCACATTTTTTCCACATTTTTCCCCCTTTTTCCCCCTTTTTCCCCCTTTTTCCCACCTTTTTCCCTATTCTTTCCCCATTTTTCCCCCTTTTTCCCCATTTTTTACCACATTTTTTCCCCATTTTTTCCCCATTTTCTCTCCTCTTTTTCCCATTTTCTCTCAATTTCCCCCCATTTTTCTCCTTTTTCCCCCCTTTCCCCGCTTTTCCCCCCTTTTTCCCCCATTTTCCCCCCTTTTCCCCCTTTTTCCCCCTTTTTCCCCATTTTTCCCAATTTCTTCCTCATCTCCCCCCCATTTCCCCCCCTTTTTTCCCTTTTTTCCTTTTTTCCCTTTTTTCCCTTTTTTCCTTTTTTTTCCCTTTTTTTCCCCTTTTTTCCCCTTTTTTCCCTTTTTTTTTCCTTTTTTTCCCTTTTTTCCCTTTTTTCCCTTTTTTCCTTTTTTTTCCCTTTTTTTCCTTTTTTTCCCTTTTTTCCCTTTTTTCCCTTTTTTCCCTTTTTTCCCTTTTTTCCCCTTTTTTCCCCTTCTTCCCCCCCTTTTCCCCATTTTCTTCCAATTTTCCCCCATTTTTCTCCCCATTTATTTCTCATTTCCTTCCCATTTTCTTTCTCATTTCCCCCCATTTTTGTTTTGTTTTTTTTCCCCATTTTTCCCCAAAAACCCAGAGCCTGGGAAGGGCTGTGCTGACCCCTGGGATCCTTCCCAGCTCAGGATTTCTAGGAATAAAATTTGGGAATTTTGAGTGACGGGAGAGAGGAAAATCCAGAATTGGAAATTGGATTAAAATGGGAAGAAAGAGGAGAAACCTGGGAATAAATGAGGAAAAACCCTGGAAAAAAAAGCAGGAATTCTGTGCTGGGCGGAGCTGGGCCTGTCCCGGTCTGGAATTCCGGGGATTTTTCCTGGATTTCCCCTGGAATTGCAGGTTTGGAATTACAAACTGCGGCGCGGAAGAATTCCCAGGGATTTCGGGAAGAATTCCCAGGGATTTCGGGGGGATTGCCCCCAGGTGGGGACGAGAGCCCCCGGGAACACCGAGCTTCCCCCGTTGCAGGCCCGGTCCGAGGCATCGACTTCCACAAGCAGCAGCCGCTCTTCGTCTCGGGGGGGGATGACTACAAAATCAAGGTCAGCGTTCCCAAATCCCCCCTTTTCCCCCCTTTTTTCCACATTTTTTCCACATTTTTCCCCCTTTTTCCCCCTTTTTCCCCCTTTTTCCCACCTTTTTCCCTATTTTTTCCCCATTTTTCCCCCTTTTTCCCCATTTTTTACCACATTTTTTCCCCATTTTCTCCCCTCTTTTTCCCATTTTCTCTCAATTTTCCCCCTTTTTTATCCCCTTTTCTCTCAATTTTTCCCCCCTTTTTCTCCCTTTTCCCCCCTTCTTCCCCAGCAGAGCCGCACCTGCGTCTGGTCAGGGCCTGGGAATCTGGGAATTCTGGGAATTCTGGGATTCCCTGGCTTCCTGGGATTCCCTGAAATTCTGGGATAAATCCTTCCCTGGGAATCTGGGATTCCCGGAATTCTGGGACAAATCCTTCCCTGGGATTCTGGGATCAATCCTTCCTTGGCATTCCTGGGATTCCATGGACATCTGGGAATAAACCCTTCCCTGGGATTCCCAGGATTCTTGGATAAATCCTTCCCTGGGATTCTGGGATCAATCATCCCCTGAGATTCACAGAAATTTGGGATAAATCCTCCCTGGGATTCTGGAATTCTGGGATTGACCTTTCCCTGGGATTCCCTGGAAATCTGGGATAAACCCTTCCCTGGGATTTTTGGGATTCTGGGATAAACCCTTCCATGGGATTCTGGGATTCCCTGGAATTCTGGGATCAGTCCTCCCCTGAGATTCTGGGATTAATCCTCCCCTGGGATTTTGGGATCAATTCTTCCCTGCAATCCCTGGGATTCCTTGGGATTCCAAGATAAATCCTTCTCTGGGATTTTGGGATCAATCCTCCCTTGGGATTCCCTGGGATTTTGGGATAAATTCTCCTTGGGATTCCTTGGGATTTTGGGATAAGTTCTCCCTGGCATTCCCTGGGATTTTAGGATAAGTCCTGCCTGGGGTTCCCAGGATTCTGGGATAAATCCTCCCGGGGTTTTTGGGATTCCTTGGGATTCTGGGATAAATCCATCCCTGGGAGGGCAGAGAATTCCCAGACCCAGGGAATTAATTCCATGCATTCCCCATCCCTGGGATGATGGGAACGTCCCTCCCCTTGGGATTGGGGTGGGATTTTTTGGGGATTCTGGGATTTTCCCATCCCAGGATTCCCTGGGCTGCCTCACTGGGGTTTCAGGTCCTGAATCCCCATCCTGGGAGCGCCCAGCCCGGGCAATCCCACAATTCCCAACCCCCCGGGCGTGGGTGGGGCCGGGGCACCGGGATCCGGGGTTTTCATGGAATTCTGTCCCGATTTTTGGGGTCAGCGTGCTGACGGGGCACAACCACTACGTGATGTGCGCCCAGTTCCACCCCAGCGAGGACCTGGTGGTGTCGGCCAGCCTGGACCAGACTGTCCGGGTGTGGGACATCTCCGGTGAGATTCCGGGGAAAAACCGGGAAAATCTGGGAATGGGATCGGGTGTGGGATGGACC